AATTGTCAAATTTATGAATAAAAAGTTATACGAAATTTTCAAAAAATCATATCAACCTTATTTTTAAGGATCTTGATGTGATATGTATGTTAAATTGTGGCCTAAAGATTCTAGTTTATGATATGATATAGAAATTACAAGATAATATTATTGAAATTTTCAGGAAAAAATTATTAAAGAACGAATTGTCAAATTTATGAATAAAAAGTTATACGAAACTTTCAAAAAATCATATCAACCTTATTTTTAAGGATCTTTATGTGATATGTATGTTAAATTGTAGCCTAAAGATTCTAGTTTATGATATGATATAGAAATTACAAGATAATATTATTGACATTTCCAAAAAAAAATTATTAAAGAAATTGTCAAATTTATAAATCAAAAATATTACGAAATTTACAAAAATTCATATCAACTGTATTTTTAAAGATCTTGATATGATATGTATGTTAAATTGTGTCCTAAAGATTCTAGTTGATGATATGGTATAAAAACGATAAGATAGTATTATTGAAATTTCCAGCAAAAAGTTATTAAAGAAGCCTTTGTCAGGATAAAAGCCAATACGAAATTTTCAAAAAATCAAATTGACTGTATTTTCAATAATCTTGCTATGATATGTATGTTAAACTGTAACTTAATTATTGTAGTTTATGATATAATGTAAAAACTATAAGATAATATTATTAAAGTTTCCAGGAAAAAATTATTAAAGAAGGAATTGTCAAATTTATGAATAAAAAGCTATACGAAATTTTAAAAAAATCATATTAACCTTATTTTTAAGGATCTTTATGTGATATGTATGTTAAATTGTGGCCTAAAGATTCTAGTTTATGATATGATATAGAAATTACAAGATAGTATTATTGAAATTTTCAGGAAAAAATTATTAAAGAAATTGTTAAATTTATAAATCAAAAATATTACGAAATTTACAAAAATTTATATCAACTGTATTTTTAAAGATCTTGATATGATATGTATGTTAAATTGTGGCCTAAAGATTCTAGTTTATGATATGATATAGAAATTACAAGATAATATTATTGATATTTCAAAGAAAAAATTATTAAAGAAATTGACAAATTTATAAATCAAAAATATTACGAAATTTACAAAAATTCGTATCAACTGTATTTTTAAAGATCTTGATTTATGTTAAATTGTAGCCTAAAGATTCTAGTTAATGATATGGTATAAAAACGATAAGATAGTATTATTGAAATTTCCAGGAAAAAGTTATTAAAGAAGCCTTTGTCAGGATAAAAGCCAATACGAAATTTTCAAAAAATCAAATTGACTGTATTTTCAATAATCTTGCTATGATATGTATGTTAAACTGTAACTTAATTATTCTAGTTTATGATATAATGTAAAAACTATAAGATAATATTATTAAAGTTTCCAGGAAAAAATTATTAANAAGCGTCTTTAAAAGAAATGATGAGAGACTAATTGGTCGAAAGGCTTTAGGATCCGTTGGGTCCTTTTTTCCATTCTTTGGTATAAAGGTTACTGTAACCTTCCTCCAGCTGATGGGAACGTAGTTAAAGGCTAAGCAGGCCTTAAAAACTCTCATCAAGTGTATTTTCATATCCTCTAGACTCCATTGAAGAAGAGCAGGAAATATACCGTCGGGTCCGGGTGTTTTGAAGGGCTCAAAACTGCTCTACCAACTCATTCCTTACAACCTGGTTAGCTATCTGCCAGTCCTGGCTGCTAGGAGAGTTATTAAATTCCACTTGGTGTAGAAGCATTGAAAAATCTTGCAAAGAACCTGGAAAATGAACATCCATTAATAAATGCAACGATTCTTCTGGATCCTTGGCAAAACTGCCATCAGACTTTTTTAGAATGTCATGACTGTGCTTTTAGTTCTGGTCTTAATTGTTAGCACGTAAATTTATAAGCACAAACAATATTCTTCTGGCATCAAAAAGCTTTAAAAAGCATTAGAAGGAATTACCAGTTCTGACTCACAACGTTTATCTTATCTTTACGATTAAAAGAAAAAAGAGCGAAAAATTGCAATTACGATCAAATAGAACAAATTGAATGAAATAACTAAATAATAACTTTTAAAGTGGCAATAATTGAAACTTTTCAAACATTCTGTATAGTAGTTAATGTTACCCATTAGAGAAATTTATTAATATCCCTTATCAATAGTTGGCGATATTCCAAAATTCCTTTATACACTACTTGTTTCTGTACATTAAAATCAACCTAAGAAACCATTCCCACCGATGTACTGGATATTTAGCTATCAATAATCGGTGATGTAAAATAAACTCGAGTGGTGTAGCCTCAATTTTATACCTTACAAAAATAAACAAAACCGTAGTAAGGTGTTTTCGGAACCGAATCTTGAAGATGATTTAAAGCAACAACTCTCCACGTGATCTGTTCAATTTCCGTACGATTTTCCTGTTTTCAACACAATCTTTTTTAAACGTTAAACGTATATCTGTAGTTTTGTTCGTACGCCAACGTTTGGTCTATGGCTAGCTACAATAAAAGGTATTCCATTCACGTTTTGGTTCGGCATCCGGTTGAAGACGTGCCACCACAAGTTAATGCGGGAGCGGGATTTACGTTTTAGACCGTTCTCTAGACATTATTTAGAAAAAAATTTATATAAAAGTAACATAAAATTTACCACCATTAATTGCTAAAACATTTTTATGAAACAATTTTTTTATATCGTTTTCTTTTTACAAGTTTTAATTGTATACAATAGTTATTTATATAGCAAGGCATTTGGGTTAGCTTTGGAGTCAATGTAAATAAAAGTTTATTTTTAAAAGCAAATTTTTTTCTTTAATGTTATAAACAATTTGCTAAAGTACTTCAAGTTATTTAGAATTAAACTGTCAGACGAACTATTACGTACAGGTTTAGAAAATAATTAAAAACAGAGACATTCGGACTCATTTCCTGTATAATCGGATGTAATAAAGATGTGACAGTACAATTAAATGTTGGGTATAAACAGTTGAGACTTTATTATAAACTAATCTGAAATCTCGTTATTGCGAAATCGTTATATGAGTAATAATTTAAAGAAACGATAAATAAATGTTGGACATCATTTTAAGATTTATATATTGTGACATATTACACAAGGACAGCTAAATATAACGTATAAAAGGCTTTTTATGCAGGTTTTCGTCAGCTGAGTAAAACACAGAAAACTCATCTAGTTATTAACCAAATAAACTATATGATAAATTACCTAAAACAATTAGAGCTATGTAAAATAAAGTAATTTAAAAATGTCATCAAAAATTTTTTGATGACAAATACGTTCTATTCAATTGAAGAGTAATGTCGTTAGTCTGCAATGTAGTTTATTTGTTGATGTATTTATTGAGACAAATAAATTGTTAAATAAGTGTAGCAAAACATATTAACAAATCCTTTCTGTTGTTGGCGTGTTTTTGTTTGGTGTAAATTATTAATTTTTTTTTTGTGTCTTTGTTTTATAGAAAGAAAATTATTCGTCGGTATGTTAAGTAAAAAATTGGGAGAAAATGAAGTGCGCAATTTGTTTCAACCGTATGGTAATATCGAGGAGTGTACCGTGCTGCGAGATCCTGCGGGTCAGTCAAGGGGTTGTTCCTTCGTTACATTCGCAACGAAACAATCGGCGCTTAGTGCCATAAAGGGTCTGCATCAGTCTCAAACGATGGAAGGTTGTTCGGCCCCGCTTGTTGTTAAATTCGCCGATACCCAAAAAGAAAAGGAACTGAAGAGGCAACAGCAAATGCAAGCGAACGTATGGAACGCGCTCGCAACGAGTCCCCAACTTCAGCAACCTTCACCTACCTACAACCCGGTGCAAATTCCTAATGATACGGCATCTTTACAAATTTTACAGGTAATAACAAAAACAAGAATTAACACTTGTACTAAACCCAGAACCAGAAACATTCGTGTTTAGCCATCTTTAGCTAAACTTGAATGAAGTGTTAATTCTAGTTTTTGTTCAATTTATACATATTTTGTTATTTATTCCAGGCGATGGGTAATTCAGCACTTCTTCAGCAACAATTGCTGACAGGTCCGGATAGTCTGCTGGCACCCATCGGAATGCAAAACTTGGTAACATTGGCTGCGATGTCGCAACCTGCCGCTTCACCACTTTGTATGGCGAGTCTATTAGGAAAGAACGCCGCCGTTGATAGGACGTTAACGGCAGGTCTTCCCCCTGCTTTAACAGCAACTAACGACCTTACGTCAGCGTATGGATCGCTTTTTGCAAGCGCTACGTTAAACGCGGCGGCGATAAACGCTGCCGGAAAACAAATAGAAGGTACGTTTATCATTAATCATAAAATAATCGAAAAAGACGTGATAAAATCTATCAAACTAAACCGTGACAAATTTCCTTATAATTTCCTCATATAATCCGCCATAGTTTCGTATTATCACGTATACATCTATATTAAATGTGACCCGATTTGTAATAAACCCGATATATGCAATAACACGATCGCCAACAATGTTGAATTTTCATTCAAAGAGTGTGTAAGTTATCGTTTTTTAATGGGTTGAAGAGGACGTATATTTCAAATGGTTACCGGAGTATCGTTTTACGTTCGCGCATAAATATTAAACATTCGTAGTTGACGACGTCTTGGAAACTATGTGGGCAATTTTAGAATTGTCAAGGTGCATCGTGTTCGCGTTCCCGTGTACGAGCTGTCGACCGTTACGCAATCGACTTTGTACTAATAGCGTCAATGAAGAGGTCCAAAGTGACGAGCCGACGCCATTTATTTCGAAAACGGCACCGAAATAACACGCCAAGACGAGGTCATTAATGACTACAGATTAGTTTTTAACGTCAAATGGTTTTTCCAATAGGTACTTTTTAATAATTTTTTGTTATAATCAAATTTTATCAACAATTAAGACTGTTTGACACGATAATTCATTTAAAATACTCTATTTTTTAATTCGGAGGAGTGTTTTTCAAATTGAAGCGCCAAAAAGAAGGGTTCAGACGCACGGCTAAACCCGAAACTTTCTAGTTCTAGGTCTAGTGTTAGTTCTAGTTTTACACTAGCATGATTCTAGAATGATTCTAGTTTTTATGTTAGTTCTAGTGATAGTGCTAGTGTAAAACTAGAACTAACACTAGACCGAGAACAAGAAACATTCGGGTTTAGCCGGACGTCTCTCAAAACGGCTAAACCCGAACGGCAAAAATTATTAAATAAGGTATTGTTATATTTATTAAATATTTATTAGATACAAATAATACGAATTTTTCAAAACAATCATATCGAATATATTTTTAAGAATCCTGATATGATGTGTATGTTAAATTGTACCTCAATCATTCTAGTTTGTGATATGATTGAAAAACTATAAGATAATATTATTGAAATTTTCAGGAAAAAATTATTAAAGAACGAATTGTCAAATTTATGAATAAAAAGTTATACGAAATTTTCAAAAAATCAACATCAACGTTATTTTTAAGGATCTTGATGTGATATGTATGTTAAATTGTGGCCTAAAGATTCTAGTTTATGATATGATATAGAAATTATAAGATAATATTATTGAAATTTTCAGGAAAAAATTATTAAAGAACGAATTGTCAAATTTATGAATAAAAAGTTATACGAAATTTTCAAAAAATCATATCAACCTTATTTTTAAGGATCTTGATGTGATATGTATGTTAAATTGTGGCCTAAAGATTCTAGTTTATGATATGATATAGAAATTATAAGATAATATTATTGAAATTTTCAGGAAAAAATTATTAAAGAACGAATTGTCAAATTTATGAATAAAAAGTTATACGAAATTTTCAAAAAATCATATCAACCTTATTTTTAAGGATCTTGATGTGATATGTATGTTAAATTGTGGCCTAAAGATTCTAGTTTATGATATGATATAGAAATTACAAGATAATATTATTGAAATTTTCAGGAAAAAATTATTAAAGAACGAATTGTCAAATTTATGAATAAAAAGTTATACGAAATTTTCAAAAAATCATATCAACCTTATTTTTAAGGATCTTGATGTGATATGTATGTTAAATTGTGGCCTAAAGATTCTAGTTTATGATATGATATAGAAATTACAAGATAATATTATTGAAATTTTCAGGAAAAAATTATTAAAGAACGAATTGTCAAATTTATGAATAAAAAGTTATACGAAATTTTCAAAAAATCATATCAACCTTATTTTTAAGGATCTTGATGTGATATGTATGTTAAATTGTGGCCTAAAGATTCTAGTTTATGATATGATATAGAAATTACAAGATAATATTATTGAAATTTCCAAAAAAAAATTATTAAAGAAATTGTCAAATTTATAAATCAAAAATATTACGAAATTTACAAAAATTCATATCAACTGTATTTTTAAAGATCTTGATATGATATGTATGTTAAATTGTGGCCTAAAGATTCTAGTTGATGATATGGTATAAAAACGATAAGATAGTATTATTGAAATTTCCAGGAAAAAGTTATTAAAGAAGCCTTTGTCAGGATAAAAGCCAATACGAAATTTTCAAAAAATCAGATTGACTGTATTTTCAATAATCTTGCTATGATATGTATGTTAAACTGTAACTTAATTATTCTAGTTTATGATATAATGTAAAAACAATAAGATAATATTATTAAAGTTTCCAGGAAAAAATTATTAAAGCAGAAATTGTCAAATTTATAGATAACCGTGCGAGATAGATGCACGGCTAAACCTGAAACTTTCTAGTTCTAGGTCTAGTGTTAGTTCTAGTTTTAGTTCAGTAAAAATTAATAGTGCTAGTAATAGTGCTACTGTAACACTAAAACTAACATTAGACCGAGCTAACATTTTTAGTTCTATGTCTAATGTTAGTTCTAAGGATAATGCAAATACTAATTCTAGGTATTAGAATTTACACTAAACCTAGTACTAGAAACATTCAGGTTTAGCCATGTTAAGAATCGGACGATTGTGTTTATAGTAAAAATCTTCATTGTAAATCGTGTCAGATAATCTTGCTTGTATTATTTCATAAAGTATATTCAATCAACATTAAAAATAAGAAAACAAAACTATAAAAATAATAAACTCAAGGATAAAATAACAAAGTTTCTGGGAAATTGTCACAAACAAGATTTATGTAAAGGTTTGTGTGTCAATTTTTATTTTAACCAATTAAACTTCTTTACAGATGGTTTTATTAAAAACTTTTTCGACGGTGTTTTTCTCAAATAAAATTTGTTTAATTTTTCAGGTCCGGAAGGTTGCAATTTGTTCATCTACCACCTACCGCAGGAGTTTACAGACACGGACCTTGCGTCAACGTTCCTGCCATTCGGCCAAGTGATCTCCGCAAAGGTGTTCATAGACAAACAGACGAACCTATCCAAGTGTTTCGGTTTCGTGTCTTTCGACAACCCGAATTCCGCGCAAGCGGCCATCTCGGCTATGAACGGTTTCCAAATTGGCACGAAACGGCTGAAGGTGCAGCTGAAACGCGCGAAAGACGCCTCGAGACCATATTAGATACAATTATGGATGCACGGTGGTAGCGTCGCGACGAAGAAGATGCGACGGCCCAATTGAAAAACGTAAATGAATGAAAAAAAAATACAAAAAACGTAGACGCGACGTATTTCCCCCGTTTTGTTATTATTTTTTTAATGAAACGTTATTTTTCTCCCTAAAAAATGTTTACCAAAAATCAAGAAAGTATTTACCAACTGGTGGCAAAAGGATGGACCAAAAAAAAATAATTAATTTAAAAATTAAGAATCAATTTACAGGAAGATTTGAGGATTCTTCTCTTCACTTTATTAGTTATTTTTTTTAAGCAGAAATTTCTCACCGAAAAGCACTAAGATATCCGAGGTTAAGAATGAATTAAGTGTGAAGAGAGGGATGGAACATTTAAAGGATATCTTCTTTTTAGTCGTCTGAAAAAGTGGCGGCGCGTAACACGGACCAGAGATAGAGAGAGAGAGACACACAGACAACAAGAACTGCAAAAAAGTAAAATATACATATAAATAGAGTAATTTAATGTGCGCGTGCCACAATTCTCAGGATTTTTTAAAATCACTTTGTGAAAAAAATTACAAAAAAATAATTTGAAAAACAAAACTGTGAGATATTTTTACTAATAGTTAAAATAATGCAGTATGCATCCTGTATTATATATACATATAAATATTCGAAGAGTGGAGTCTAAGAGTAAATTTCACCATCGAGAGTGACGGCAACGTTTTGAATTTAAACCAAAATCAAAACCAAATGAATGTTAGTTATTTTGTTTTTTTTAATTATCTTTGTTTTCAATGAGGTGTTCGATTGTTTTCTTTTTCTATATTGTTTTCTTTTATTTAGCTTATTATTCGGGTTCCCCAATACACATGGTGTTTTTGTTTAATTTTTCGATTCCAACTTGTAACGTTGTAAATTTACTATTGTTGTGTATCGTACACATTGATTTTTCGCGCGTCAGACATCCTGTGTTGTCAATGTTGAGTGACACGTGTTATATTTTTTTTCTTTTACTTTCCTTTATTTTTCTTTTTTCTTTTTTTTTTTTAATTAGTCGAGTCATTATTATTTCTCTATTATACATATTATATTATCGTTAATTTATCAAGGGCGTAATTGTACGATGAAAGAAGTGTACCTTTATTTTCTATTGTTATGAATTAAAAACCAAAGTTTAGACCTTACACACAATTTTAATTTTATCAAAACAAATTCTCTTATTATTTTTTTTTTATTTTTTTATATCATTTATTTATTTATCGAAATTCTTTCTCCTTCCTTTACAAAAATGTTCACCTTCACCCACCACAAAACTTGTTCCACCACTTGTTTCGACCCCACGTGTTCACTTTTATATATTAATCGTTTATTTATTGTGATATAACTGAGATGTTGTTTATACATGTGATCAAGTGCTAAGTGACTACCCTGTACAGCCATCTTATATTATATCGAGTGCGTCAATAACAACCAGCAGTGCGTCCAGTGTGTTTTGGCTTCTGTCTATGTCTACTAATGTACATGTCGTCATTTACCAGTAAGTTGCCTTATTTACTAACAAATTACCAGATTTTTATCACTAATATTTTTATACAAGATTATTTTTATCAATTTTTGAACGCACCAGCTGTTTATGTTACACTTGCATGACTTAATTAATTTAATATTAAAAAAAAATCAACTCAACCTAAATTTTAATAACTGTTTTGATGTTTTTATAAAAGATTTTTAACCTTGATGAGGAACACTTGCAAATTCAAAACGTGTCAATTAATAATACGACGATGACCATGATGTTTTGGAATATTAATTATCACAAATCTTCTAATGTTAAAAATAAATAATGAATCGAAATTATGCAATTTGAAATATTCGTAATGACTTGAAAAGCTTTTTTTAAAGCGCTAACGAACGTTATTTTTCTTTTGCGTGCAAGGATAATGACGTGGTTCAAATTCCAGAGATAAACTATCTTTTAAAAAATATTTCGGTCTAAAAGTAGAACAAATAGTAGACCTAGAATTTAACGTTTCGGTTGTCATGTTGCAACCTTCTTCAGAAACAAGTTCGAAGACCACTTACTTGAAATAAAAGATATAAAGATACAAGAAAATTGAAAATACATTTTTGTTGATTTCAAATTAGAATTAATATTAGAACTAGAAACTTTCGGAGTTAACCTTTCGTCTCTCAAGATGGCTAAACCTCAACGAATTCTAGCTTTTAGAACTAACACTCAATCTAGTACTAAAATCATTTGGAGGTAGCCGTCTTGAGAGACGTACGGCTAAACCAGAATGTTTCTGGTTCTAGGTCTTGTGTTAGTTCTAGTGATAGTTCTAGTTTTAGTTCAATAAAAATATACAACATAGTAATATCTTATACTAACTAGAGCTACCTACCACAATCACTAGAACTAATACAAGAATTAGAACTAGAAACATTCGGGTTTAGCCGCACGTCTCCCAAGACGGCTAAACCCGAATGATTCTAGTTCTAGGTCTTGTGTTAGTTCTAGTGATAGTGTAAAACTAGAACTAACACTAGACCGAGAACTAGAAACATTCGGGTTTAGCCGCACGTCTCTCAAGACGGCTAACCCCGAATGATTCTAGGTCTAGGTCTTGTCTTAGTTCTAATGATAGTGTAAAACTAGAACTAGCACTAGACCGAGACCTAGAAACATTCGGGTTTAGCCGCACGTCTCTCAAGACGGCTAAACCCGAATGATTCTAGTTCTTGTGTTAATTCTAGTGATAATGCTAGTGTAAAACTAGAAATAACACTAGACCGAGAACTAGAAACATTCGGGTTTAGCCGCACCTCTCTCAAGACGGCTAAACCCGAATGATTCTAGTTCTTGTGTTAATTCAAGTGATAATGCTAGTGTAAAACTAGAAATAACACTAGACCGAGAACTAGAAACATTCTGGTTTAGCCACACGTCTCTCAAGACTGCTAAACCCGAATGATTCTAGTTCTTGTGTTAGTTCTAGTGATAGTGCTGGTGTAAAACTAGAACTAACACTAGACCGAGAACCAGAAACATTTGGGTTTAGCCGCACGTCTCTCAAGGCGGCTAAACTGTCTTGAGAGTCCTAAAAGTTCTCGGTCTAGTGTTAGTTCTAGTTTTACACTACCACTACCACTAGAACTAACACAAGACCTACAATTAGAATCATTCGGGTTTAGCCGTCTTGAGAGACGTGCGGCTAAACCCAAATGTTTAGCACTATCACTAGAACTAACACAAGACCTAGAACTAGAAACATTTGGGTTTAGCCGCACGTCTCTCAAGACGGCTAACCCCGAATGATTCTAGTTCTAGATCTTGTGTTAGTTCTAGTGATAGTGCTAGTGTAAAACTAGAACTAACACTAGACCGAAAACTAGAAACATTCGGGTTTAGCCGTCTTGGGAGACGTGCGGCTAAACCCGAATGTTTCTAGTTCTAGTTGTAGTGTTAGTGTTAGTTCTAGTTTTAGTTCAATTCACACCGGCCATAAAAGCCTTCGTACATATATTTGGGTCGATTTCTTTTCGAACACATTTAATGCAAGAACTTTGTAAATTATTATAGATAATAAGTACTTTTTGATTAATATTTATCAAAATTTTCTCCACATATTTCAAATGAAACTTTATGATACAATTTATTCATAGTATAGGGGTTAAAACTCCTTTACGATCAGGGACATTAAACTCTAAAGGACTGCTAAATTATAAGCTCTACGCGTATGTGAGGTCACACATATTACACTGGTATATTTACCCTTGCAAATCCTCCCACTTTGAAGTTCGATATCTCGATAACCATTCGACGAATAGAATTTCGGTGAAGTTTGTTGGACTTAGCGAATAATTTTATATAAAACATGAAAAGCTATAATCTTGTAACTCTACTGTTATTAAATGCAGCAAAGATATAGACTTCAGTGATTCTCATTGTCAGTGAGAGATTTCAAAATCACCTTTTTGAGCAAGCTATAAAATTGAAAAAAAAACAATACGCTTTACTAAGCAAAGGGACTACTAAACATACATTTGATCTTTTTAAATCTTTTCCATTTGACTTATAAATAGACCAACTAAAATAAAATTGTAATAAACCACATTGATGAATGTGTGTCGATCTGCGTAAATATAACACCGACGTATATCAAATCTATAACAGAAAGAAGGTAGTCTCATTTGCAATGATTATTCGCGATATTATAATTCAACCTTTACACTAAATATTTAGACTGAAATCTTTTCTAAATCGAAACTTTATTGTTTGCAATCGTTTCAAAACCATAATGTTTATACTTAAATTAATTATCTCGCAGGTAATTTAACCGATCCAAAGATTTTGATCGCTTTATTTATTATGCTTATAATCATAATATAATTTACGGGTGTATAACTCGAACGATACTTTTTTTAACTCGATTTCAATGCAACACGAGAACCAACCTTTTTAGCGGCAATTTACACGCGATATTATGATCGAAGGCCGCCGTTATATTAGCACTACCTGTATTGCGTTTCATTATAAACCGAATGCAAAAGTGTGTATCGTCCAAATGTTACGCAAAATGTATACGCGTTTTCTGATAACAGCTAAACAGGTAGACCAATAAAAGTTTACGTCACGTCCTCCAGTTCCCATTATACCGTTTGTGTACTAATTAACGTTTCCTTGAACATTTTGTACTATTTTACTTTACTTATCGCTACTTTAACGATGTTTTTCTTTTTTTTATGCGTCTTTACTGTGTTATCTTTTCGCTTTTAACTTTAACGATGAGTAAGTGGTGAATTAATGAATCTTACTGAACTTGCAAAACTAAAAAAAAACTAAGTTGTAAATTGAATTGAAACTAGAACTAATACTGGCACTAACACTAGAACTAATGAACTGGAATCATTCGGTTTTAGCCGAACGTCTTTCAAGACCCAAATGTTCCTAGTTTTTAATCAACTGTTAATTCTAGTGATACTGTTAGTTTAATAGCTAGAATTAACACTTGCCCTATCATTACAACTACTACTAGACCTTGAACTAGAATCATTCGGGTTTAGCCGAACGTCTTTTAAGACGGCTAAACCCGAATGTTTCTAGTTCTATGTCTAGAGTTAGTTTTAAAATTAAAACTAGAACTAACACTAGACCTAGAAAATTTCGGGTTTAACCGTGCGTCTTCAGACGTCTAGTGTTAGTTTTAGTTCAATAACTGAGGTTTGGGATTAATATTACATGAACCTAAAACTGATCATCACATTATAGCGTTTCGGCGAAGTAGCTAAGACATTATCAATGCTTGATTACTCCGTACAGTAATAGAGTTGATTAAAAACTTTTTATCTACGACTGCTTGCATAAGTCATCATTACCGCACTCATTTGAGGTGATTTGAGTTACGTAATGAAGTTCATTACCGCACTGGTTTCATTACGTAACGCATTTTTAGCCTAATCAGAACAGACTTAATTTATTGAAACGAGCAACAATACCAAAGAAAAAGTGCTATCTACTTACAGAGAAACAATACTATTTATTATAAACATTAATTGTTATGTTTTTACATTTCGAAACACTTATTCCAGATGAGTAAACATGTTGTTGAAACTGACATTT